TTATTGAATATCAAAAAAGACAGTGATATGATTTGACTTCTAATCAATCGTTGTAGTTCTGAGTTTAATCTCTTGTAAGGTCGTAAACGTGTACTTCTGAGAAGTTACGTACTAGGACGAAACAGCTGTTCAATGTATTGCAGTTTCTAATGAGATCCCAACTGACATCTATCTGTGTTAAATACAATCTACATCTTATTTAATTAATTCATAGAAATAAATATTTAAATATCCATTCATAACTAACTTATACATGTTACTTCACATGATCTACTTCAAACGAAACTGTTTTTTTTCTTATCCGACGAGGAAAATCGAACGATCTAAATAAAACAAATTTAGAGTGTTTGAACACATTGTTCATAAACAGCTAATCTTTTATATGATTAAGCCGACAAATTGATTTGTCTGTCTTTTTATTTCATTGAAAAACTAGTAAATTATTTTTTCGTATCAACCATGATAAAAATGAATATTTAACAGTTCTTAATCGACTTTATTTTTAGTATATACCATTCAACTGTTCTATTTCAACTTCAAAAACAGTTAATAATAATTTCCTTTCTGTGTTGGTTGTTGTCAATTGATCAGTCTTTTATTGACTTTTGTTACATCCTATGAGGTTCCCTTCGATATTACTCTAAGTCACAAGGATTATAAGGAGAAATGATTGGTGGTTAGGATTGGAATCTAGGACAATTATCTTTGACAAATATGAAAGATTTCAACGATGATATTAATACATGTTTATGTATATGTGCATGTATAAAGTATTCTCTATGGAGTAAATTTGATTGTGTATCGTATACTTCAATTAAAAATCAACTTATAAGAAAAGGAATATTTGGATAACATTCTTATTTTTATTAAATGAGACAAACTCATAGAGCTACAATAAACGATGTGAAAATGAGTATATGTAAAGCATTTGTCACTCCATCATTTCCAACTCAGAATCTTCTGTAGTATACATATTTTCAATTATTAATCACTGTGAAGTAATGGCCAATGTCTTATTTGTCTAGTCTGAATTCTATCAATCAGATGTTAAAGTGACCTAATATTGCTTGTACTATGTTTTAATAATATAGTGGTTAGAAGTAGCTAACATGGGCGAGACTCTAATTTAGGGACGACCTTTGAACGAATCCTAAATGACCTTGACAATTATTAGCCAATCAGAAGACACTTAGTGTAAAGTGAAAATATATTATAAATCATGGATTACAATGGATATTCTTCTTTTACATGATTAAAAAACTTGTTAAGATTTGATAAAGGCTCAGAAGTTCTGAATTCATAATGCATATGGTATAGAAACTCGTCCATAGGGTTAGGGTCAGGCTGCTAACATGAGATCGGTTTACATCGGATTTTAGAGAAGAGGTATTTATTGAGAGGCTACAACCCTAACCCTAACCCTAGGCTACAAACCTAACCCTAACCTCTAAAATCCGATGTAAACCGATCTCAAGTTAGCAGCCTGATCCTAACCCTAACCCTAACCTAACCCTAAACCCTAACCCTATGCACGAGTTTCTATACCGTATGCATTATGAATTCAGAACTTCTGAGCCTTCATCAAATCTTAACAAGTTTTTTAATCATGTAAAAGAAGAATATCCACTGTAATTCATTGCTTTCTTGTAATATATTTTTACTTTATACTGTCTTCTGATAGGCAGATAATTGAAATTGCTCAAACGCTTCTGATTGGCTCGTCCCTAAATTAGAGTCTCGCCCTAACAAGTATTATAAGACTTTAGTCTAACGTTAGTTGACACTTATCAACAAGACGTACCTACAATCATGTGAAAACCAATGAGCTATGTCATATACGGCAATGACAATATTTGCTACATTTAATTAATTTTTTTTTAAAAGCAACAATGTTGTATACTGAACTTCCTCTTATCTTTTTTTATACTGAAATGAATTAACAACATTGAAATGATCCACAATATATAACATTCAATAACCTCTATGGAAGGAACGATCGAGAATCGACGTCATATTCTCAATAGTTTCTTTTCATTTTAAGCTTAACTATCAGAATAATCATCAATGTATTATGATAAACATATCATTGATTTATATTCATACAAAACTGTTTGATTTGTTTTTCAAATTTGACCAACACAATCCCGCATACATTTAAGTGTTAATCATATAAATACTTATGTAACTAATTAGTTGAGTTTCGTTTCTGTGTGAATCACAGCAACTTGACCTAATTATCTAATAAATTCAGTAATTCATCACAAAGGTCATAGTTATTTTTATTTATAAACCTAGTAACTAAAATCTTTATTTAATAATACTGACTTAAGGGTAGGTTAATGGTAGAACAATTCAAACTGTCTAGGTTTTATATTACTTGTTATAGTTGTTTTTTGTTAGTTTGATCTCTTCTTATTTATTGGACATCTAACAATTGAATAATAACATGATTGATGTAGTGATGCCTAACTGAAGCCAGTGGATAAGAAATCTTAAACCTAAACCTAATATCTAAATGGTGACGTCTCTAACTTTGACATTGAATAAAAATAATTTCCACAACAAATCAGTTTAAGTTTCATTTTGGTATCTGAAATTATTGTTATTATGAAAACAGTATTTTGTATTCTTTGACTGCTTATCTTTCAATTATGTTAGTTGTATAATAAAAAAGAATCGCAATAAACATTTTAATCATTATAAGCAAGGATGGATAGTGACTAACAGTGGAATCCAGGACGCGCGATTAGTCCTATTTGGGACTCGTCAGCTGGATGTACCTGCATCTCAGAGTTCATGTTCACTACGGGACTCGAACCCAGTACCACTCGCTCCAAACGCCATCGCGTCATCCACTCAGCTACTGAGTTCTGATAGCCACTTGCTTGTGCAGTGGGTTGAAGTCTAAATTCACTTGATATTGTTTACTTGTATCTTCCCATTGATGTTTAGGACTGCAATTGATCAGTCTCTGAGATGCAGGTACATCTGGCTGACGAGTACCAAGTAGAACGAAATGAGCGTCCTGAATTCCACTGCTAGCCACTATCCATCTTTGCTTATAATACTTGTGAATTAAGATAATATCGAGGCAATACACACAGTATGCAAATATGCCAGTAAGAGACTGATCAATTGCAGTCTTAAACATCAATAGGAACATTTAAGTAAACAATACCAAGTGAATTTAAACATTGTAATCGTTGAGATAGATAAACATTCACTCTATTTTCTATTATGCTTAACATAATGGGATTTATTAAATTCTTATTATGGTAATTTTCAATTTATTTACTTAGGTGACTGTATGTATATTGAATTAAATTAGGGTGTGTCACCTGAATTGATAATTTCAACTTATTAATTGTTGTTAGGTCGTGATTTTCAACAATAAAAAATTCAGGTAATTATGTCAACACTCAGTCGAGGTATTAACTAAACACCAAAAGAAAGAAAAACTGGAAGAAATTCGGTAGAAAATAAATTTGTTTACATTGCTGTCACTACAACCTATTTAATGACTTTTCATTTAAGTTGACTAGTTGATCTGTTTTCTGTGGATTGACCTCTTGAAAACGGTATAGTTAGAAGGTTTAAGACGACCAATGGGAAGCTCTAAACTTTGGTTTTGTGTTAGCTAGCACTTGTCAATATGGTATGCCAATAGTATTGAGGGATTTGGTACATCATAATATATTTGAACCTATCTCATTTAGTATCAGTCAAAGACATGATTACAATTACTTCCAGGATTCAAGTGATTTCTTATGTCACCTAACACGAAACCTAGAATCTGATGATTGTTCAAGACTAGCTGGACATATCGATGGAGAAGTGATTAGTTCTATTCACCATTATAAAGGCAAATGTATTTATGCATCATTGTAATTAGGTTGTTTGAAAAAGTTGTAATTATTTGCTGATATCAATGAATAACTTTTGATTCAGTGATTGAATTCCTTATTTCCAATCGCAAAAGTCTCAATGGTAATTCTTTTACATTTGAACGTTCAGTTAATCTTTTCAAAAGACCTTCTTTAACAGTTTCTTGAAGTAAAATTCCATCTTCATTGCTTCCAACAAAACTGTAATTTACTATCCTTTAATTCAGTTAATTGTCGCAATGTTAATTGCTGAGCCGTAAAGTTTTAGTAGGAATATATCATTGATAATCTATTAATTTATAGTACGGATCATACCCCAAAAATAATTACGTATCTTGAGAACTTTATATAAAATGTTGAATTAATATGTATTGAAGTATTTGCACATTTGTACCTCAGTCGTTGGTACATCGTATCTATAACTCGAAATTCTTTGGTTTAATGAAGTCATTTACGTTCTTTTTTACTTCATAGAAAGTTCCATATTCTACTTATGTTTTATATTCTTTAAAAAAATGTCAGTATGGGGATTTGTTGAATTCACAAGTCGATCTAAGCTAGAACACCATTGAAAACCTGGAATCACTGGACAGCCGTTTTTTCCTAGTATGTGACTCCTCGGCAGTGTTCATCCACGGTCCGCTCACGAACCCAAGACCGTCTGTCCCGTGTATGAGACGGTTATTCACCTCAAGTAATGGATGAAGGGTTACGCGAGGTCATGGGTCGACTGAAGTTAAACATTAACAACATCTCGTGTTAACTCAGTGGTTTAGAGTTTAGGCATTCGCGCGTGAAACCGAAGGTCCTGGGTTCAAGTCCCGCGTACAGACTATTGATGCATACTTCTGAAGACTCACCTATTAGAACAGAACGGCCGTTCAGTGCTTCCAGGTTCTTAATGGTGGTCTAGTTTAGATCGACTCATGTATTCAACTTTGAAAAACTGTGTCTGTTTTAACTTACAAGTTAAATTGATAACTCTGTAGATATAAAACTAATCGTTGCTTAATTCATAACATTTTAGAAACTTTAAAACTGAAACAATATTACACATAATTGATATATTCTATATATAACAAAACATGTAACAATTGTTTACCATTCATTAACATGTCTACTTTGAATAAAATCACAGTTATAAATACCAATTGAAACTTATCCTTTCATACTTTAAGTTAATTAAATATAAGAAAATTCATAGTTTCTTATGTGTTAGTTAATTCAAAATTATTTTCAAATTATTATTCAACTGATTCTATGATCTTTTATTACCTTTTTCTCTGTTTGTTTTGAAATCACATAAATAATTCTTCTGTTTACCATAATATTCATTTGTTACATTCTTTGAAGAAGTGACTTATACTGCGTGACGAAACATCGGAAAATCTAACTTTTGTTACACTGTAAAATTCTATTTTGTTCTCATCTCTTTTTTTTAATATGAACAGATGACAGAAGATGATATATTTAAATTACATGAAGAATTGGAAAATGCACGAGTACAAAATAATGAAATGAAAACAGCATTAATTGAAGCTCGTACTATTATTGATCAACAACAAAATCAATTAACGGAATTTCGGCGATATGCTGCACAATATCAAACTGATGCTGAAGCATTTAAAGTAATTAAAAATTGTTACTCATTATTGTAAAACATATATATATATATACACTGTTTTTATTGTTTGTCTAAATTTGTGCCCCTAGACATTCAATGTTCAATGTATGCTTATAAATAACAGATTGACAACCTAAAACGCGTAATTTCAAACTAGTTCTATTAAATTACGTCTCTAATGAGCAAGAACACGAGTAGGGCCAACCGAATGTATTTGACGCGAAATTACAGAGCATCTCATTAAAAACTGAAAACCGTATAGTAAATAATTGATTTGCAAAATATCAATCTATCGTCTCAAACTTGACTGTTCCTTTTGCAAATATCAGTCCATTGTCTCAAATTCCATTGTTTATGTATTTTCATACCGATTGCGTTCCGTTCCCGTTCTTTCCTTATTGATCTTCTACTGAAATACATTCTATGCCTGACCACCGTTATATACTACGTATGTGGATATAAGTAACACACCACACGTCTACAATCGTATGTTGTCAATGAGCTTAATGAATGTGGGCTAACAGACAATATTTTATAAAGATGGATCAAGATGATTTCAGTTTTTGTATTTGGTCAAGAATGGTGGATGTAGTCGATGTATTCATCAAACCTCGGAATTGGTTACATTAGCTCGGATCTATTCAATATTTTTTTTGTTCTTACGTATTGACCTCCTCTGTTTCTTCATATATACTTTTTATTTCTGCCTTTTCGGACTATATATTCTCAGTATTTAGTCTTATTGTCACTGCATTATTTCGATCTCTTCACAATTCCTCTTCTTAGTTTCGCTTCATCTTGATATTTTGAAAAGCGGAAAGTTATTTGTTCTAGGCTCTATGTAGATCATGACTGACTAATACTGTTTCTTTCAGTAGCCTATTACGTTACACTTATTCATACTTCCTAAGATATACATAAATGTATAATCAAGCACGCTTAATGTCAGAAGGCCTTTCAACTGAAAATTATTCACAGTAATGAGATAAATATGATGTATGTCGTGAGAACTATGTCATTGTAAAAAGAATTAATCTATCATTTCTTAACATTATCAAACAGTTATTCGTGTCGTCAAATATTATCTACCATTTCTGTTCAATGAATTGAATCAGTCGCTATCTGTTAGTCGTTGACGAGTACAATGTTAAGTAAATAGAAATGTTTTCTGTACTGACATGTCATTATTTTTCATGTATAGTTATTGATTTGACTTATTTACATAAAACAATTTTTATTTACTCGGTTTTGAGTGAAGTCTTTCATCTGAAGATAAGCGGTAATGTTCATCTTCTTGAACTATAGTAAATAGAGTTTGGTTTGGACTTATGACTTAAACACTAAAATGCCTAATTCTACCAACCACTAAGCCATTGCTTATATCAACAGAGACGTTTATCCATTAACATATGTCCAACCAACATCAACTTCAAAGTACAACCTGTGCTAGTGTAAATATTAGCATGGAAGAAAGGTAAAGATGGACAAATCAATACATGGCATCAATCCATGAAATAATTGATATTTACCTTGATAATTTTATTATATTTTTTGTGCAGTTGTCATGCAATAAGTTGAACCGACACCCGCATATATGTCAATTTCTATATTATATATGACTGACTGAGATGATAATAAATTTACTTCATTATTTATTTTATTTCATTCTATTTCCTCCTCCCGAATGCCCTGGTACAGCCGAGAGTGGGAAGAGTCCACTCTCCCTCTCCAAATGCTCTCACATAGCCACGCATATATAGCCTCTGCCAGGGAAGTCCTACTCATTGCCTTTTCGTGGCGGGGGCGTTGTTTACGAAAATGAGAGGACGAAAAGCGAATGTCCGGAGCTTTAACCGGTTTCCAGACCAATGGTGCACATGGGCTCCAGTATCCTGCGGGAACAAATGGCGTATGAACCAATCGTTGGTCACCGGCTACCATGGGACTGCATCTCCCCACGATGCTCTACTGCTTTGTGGATCAGACCTTCAGGTCGAAGGCTCGGGGTGTGGCCCCTTAAGAAAACCACCTGGTTCGGTTTGGGCACCCGGGAAGTATCACAGTCCTCACACATATCGAATGAGATTTGTGTGGCGCATATGTATTTGGTGCCTCCTTGTACCAATATCTGTGTATACACTCCCTGTCTTCCCTTAAACTAAGAGATTAAAATCACTTCATATCTTTCTTTCTAGTAACTAATTCTTTCTTCCTGTACTGTATCCTTATATGCAATCTTTCTCCTATATATTACCACCACTGAATTAACTACTACTATGAATCCGGTATTCATCTTGCTGTGTTAATGCGGTATGGCAACCTGGACCGATGCATATATGTGCCTGGTCCTACGTTGTAGTTGACTGACTGACTGACTGTACCAACATCTATGTGTTAAAATAAATTAAAACATAAATTTCCTCTTTGGTATTCATTTTTCTTTCCTTTTTTTCTCTTTTTAACACAGATGAAAAGTATGTTTTTACTAAATAATACACAAACACATGATGAACAAGTCAATATATTAATTAATGCATGTGAACGTTTAGAAGCGGAAGTTGATGCACTCACTTGGCAATTAGATCGAACTAAACAATCATTAGATTTAAAAACACAAGAATGTAATTTTCTTAATGAACAATTAGATGAAATACAATTGAATGGTAGTTATCATAGTCCTAATTTAACAGTAGATAATCATAATCATAATCATAATCATCATACAAGTAGTATAAGTAGATTAGATAAATTAAAAACTGGTACTGATCAATGTAATTCTATATTAAGTACAGAATATAAATCATTCACAGGTAATAGTCAATTATTACAAAGGAATACAATGATGTCAGAATCAGATATAAATAATGATATAAAAAAACTTCATGATGAAATTATTAATTATGAAAAAAAAGAAAAACAATGGGAAGAAACACATGAAGAATTATTACAGAGACAAAAATTATTAGAAGAAGAGAAAAAACAACAAGATTTAATTATTGCTCGATTAGCTAATGAACAGGTAGTTGGAAAAAACCTTAATAATTCACAGGTTAGTTGTATTATATATATATTTTTTTCTGGTTAGCGTTTTTTTAGCGAGTTAGTTTCCTAAGGGATGGGGTCGCTAATTCCATGCCCAACCCTTCTCCTTTATCCGGACTTGGGACCGGCAGTAGTTCCAGAGGGGCTTCAAGCTGAGTTAGTTGTATTATATTAACATGGGATAATAAGTATAATTGAAAAGCTAATGAAATGAATTTATTTTAATGATAATTAGGATTAATTAAATGAAGTTTAACTAATTCTGAACAGCCGTCCAGTACTTCCAGGTTTTTCATGGTAGTCTAGCTTCAATTGACTTATGACCTCGCCATATAAAAATTACTATAATATCCACAAAACATCTGATAATAATTCTGAATGATTAAAAATTTAGTTGAAAAGTTTATGAAGTAAAAACTCATAAGTAATAAGAATTTTTTCGGAGGGGGGGGGGCGGGATTCAGGCTTAGAAGTTTGAGTTAAAATTTAAAGTCGGGTTAAGATTAACACAGTTAGGATTAAGTTTAGAAATAAGAGTATAACATTAGACATTATGAGTAATGGAAAGAAATTGAGTAGATGAGTGTCACATTTAGACATGTGCTTAGGCATGTGTCCCTGATTTTAAATACCAACAACCCTTAATTTATATTTAAAAATCTATCTATCATGGTCCATACTCTTTAGTCATCTTATATTTATTAATTGCAGACATTTATTAATTAAATATTCATAATATCTCTTTGACTTTTAATACAAAAATGATCTATCCGTCAACGAATTATGTATTTTGCATAAGAAGCCATGAGCTCCAATCTCAAATTTGATTGATCCTTTAGGATAATGAACATTCACTCAAAATGTTTAAGTTGGATTTTCTAATCTAATTAATATACTATTGAAATACCATATAAGGTTACAAATCAATCAGTTATCAACAACCTAAGATGTGAAATGGATGTTTCCCGATGCAAGTTATTGCAATTTAAATGATTGCAGTTAAAAAGAGACAAATAAGATGAGAAACAAAGAAAAGGAAATAACACCAACTGCAATGACTATTTTAATATGAGTAACCCATACATTATAGATAGAGTTGAATGGTGGCTAGCAGTGAAATATAAGATGCGCGTTTCGTCCTGCTTAGGACTCGTCATCTGTATATACCAACATCCTGGAGTTGATTTTCAATCTAGAAACTCGAACGCAATACCTTTCATGTCAAACTCTATCACGTTATCTACTTGGCTACTGAGTCCAGATAGTCACTGGTTTGAGAAATGGTGCAATTTGGACTCAGTAGCAAGGTGGATACCGTGATGGGGTTTGAAGTGAAAGATACTGCTTTAGAGACCCTGGCTGAAAACCAACTCCAAGATGCAGATACATTTAGTCGACAAGTCCTAGACATAACGAGATGTAGATCCTGGATTCCACTGTTTGCTACTATTCATTTTTGCTTGAAAGTGCTTACATTTTGATGGCAGTATCGAGAAGTTCCACACAGGTGCACATATACCAATAGAGACTGACCAAATGAAGTCTTAAACACCAATGGGAAGATGCAGACAACCAGTACAAATAAGTGATGCAGCCTGAAAGGAACAAATAAGACAGAAGAAAGAACTGAAGATTAAGTGCAAGATAGAATAAATGAATGAAATTTCTGCACTGTGAGGGATTTCTCACTTTGCCATCAGGTGTCGCCAATCATTAATCGTGAGTTTTAAGCAGGTTCCAATCATAAAGTTTAGATCTGTTGATTTGGCTCAAAGTTGCAGTCAACGAACTTGTGGATTAGCTGCCTCCAACATTTTTACTTCTACTTCAAAAAGCATTGCATGGTAGTTAGATATAAACAATAAATATCCTGACCGCCTTAGTATATGAAGGTATGTACACTTATTAATCGAGATATCACATCTGATTGGAAAGTTAAGTCTAACCTCTATTATTAACTTAGTACTTTGACCATAAGTGAGCAATGCTTCGAACATAGTGTATTACAAAATAAATCTTGTGTACTTTAGTGTTTCAGTCATTTAATGTTGCTCAAACCTTATCTGATAAAGCTTGAGTACCTTTTTTGGAATCGGAATTCATTTTTCAAGGCTCACAAACCTACCGCGACGATGTGAGTGCGAGAGGAAATTGTTAGAACCCCCCGAGTTTTGAAGGGCGGACGTCATACCAGGGGCAAGTTTACGTCATATGCATACCGGCAGCAAATACGTTTTCGCCCACGTATCCCATGGCATACATATAGGCATCTTCACTCACTTATGATTTACTTGTTCATATCAATTTATAATTAAAATATAAATCATGAATAATTAAACTGCTTATTATCTCTTTAACAGAATGATAACAATCAACATGATGAAATTCCAGCTGAAATTATAGCTAAATTAAATAATTTACATGAAGAAAAAACAACATGGAGATTGTATGCAACAAGTTTAGTACGTAGTTTTGTTGAAAATTGTGAAGAATTTATACGTAAAACACCATATAATGAACCATATTTTGAAAGTGAAACTGAACGTCGTTGGTATACATATTCAATGCATTTATTAGAAAATTTATTAAATGTTGCACCATATCAATTATCTAAAACTGATTTAAACTTATTAAAACGTACTAAAAATCCAATAACAAATCATTCAATGTTCCAACAAACAACAGAATCGAATAATCCACCAGAATTATTGACTGCATTAGATTTTCCATCACAAGTTCAATTAAATAATTCATATGTAGGAGGAGGAGGAGGAAGAAATATACAATTCGATGGATTAGTACAACAACAACAATCACAAAATACCTTTACACAAGGATATGATTCATATAATCGTGAATCAAAACAATCATATCAACAACGTGCAGCTCGTGCAGCATCGAAACCATTGACAAATTTCTATCGTAAGAAGAAGTAAATAGATAATCAAAAAAAAAAGACGAATCACCTGTCGTTTTTATTACAATTCATACACATTATTAAACTGGCAGAAAATTGTACATAAATTTTGTTGAATTAACAAACAGAAAAAAAATGGAAGCAAGACTATAATTTATGAACGAATCAATCAGATTTAGGATAACAGTAATTGAATTTTGGAGCGAAATTCATTCATCCACTTGGCAAAATAGCATTTTAGCTTAAGTCAATTCGTGATGAAAACCCTAAATCTAATTCCTCGCACTGATCTGTAACCGTCATTCAGTCCTAGTTAGTGGACGGCTATTCTCAAGATCACTTTAGCGTCGCCTAAACACCGTCCATAAATTATAGTCTTATCATATGGACAATACAAGATGAATGTGTACATAACTACCGTTCAATTGTTAACAATGTGATGTAGGAAAACTTCATAATGCTTGTTTGATATATTTCGTTTTTAAAAAAACTATGGAAGAAGTGCCTTTTATATACTTATATATTTCTTAAGAAATCAGTCATCTTGTATACTTATTTGTTATCTTTACCTTAATCAAACGTCTTTCTTACTAAATAATAAAGAAGTGAACAGACGATTTTCATATTGTTTAATATTTCAAAACGTTTAGATTCGTTTCCTGCGCTACTTATTCATTAATCTAGTAGTAAAGTAAATTCTATGAAAAATAACGAGAAACTAATGGTGTTATTAAAAACAAAGATGTTTCGGTGAAGAGAGCTTTACAGTTGTATTCATAGTTATTTTCCCTACATACAATGGTTCATAGTGAAAATAGAGGGTTGTTGTATCACTAACAGCAATCAGTCAGGACTTAAAGCTATGTAATAGTCAAAGGGTAATACGAATCACCACGTGTGGAAATGACATATCGAACAGGGATTTGGAAGATATTTTTACACTTTAAGAATATGGGAGGATGAAGAACATATAAAAGCATATGTCAAAAAATAACCGACAAAATCTGAAGGGGTGCTAAAGCTATGGTAGCCTAAGAGATTAGACATACAGCTTCGAGGCACAAAGATCCGAATTAAAATGATGAACTCTCAAAGCCGCGGAAATGCACAAGTCCCTTATCCGGCTTCTCTTCGAATTAGTTTGCTTAACCTTGTGAATAATTCTTAATGAGGATTTTCATAGAGACAAATGAGCAGTTACTCAACAGCTGTGCTGATAACGGATTTCCACATATCTTTCAATAACAACCCTGGATAGTGCTCGGATTTGCGTTTGGTAATAGTACTCCATCCGTAGCCAATACAACTATTACATGACTTCGAATTCTGGTTGACTTTAAGTACCTCTGCCAATGACGCCATGTTCATTACACGCAAAAAAACAACCATAAACACGACTGAACAGAATTAATTATATCGTGGAGATTATCATCACTGAAAACGACTTTATTTTGCAAATCTTATCCTTAAATTCAGAGTAATTCTCATTCATTTTCCCAAAGTGGGTAATTTATAGTTTTCTCTACTAACTAGATTTCTATGCAGACCATAGATTATCAAGCAGATGTGGAAAATTGATTTTGCGTAGTTGAATCACACATGTTCCGTTTAAAAGCGATCAAATCCGATTCCCATAGAGTAAGGATAGTACAAGACTAATAAACCATGACTAATCAGTGAGATGAAATTGCTGAAAATTTAGATAGACAATGATATAACTGTAGAACTTTCGATTTCGGAGAAAGTGGACCAAACTACCATAAAACTAGTCAGACATGGTGGAAACTACGTTCGGATCAATGGATGCAAATACAGTCGAGCATCGGTAAAGATACTTCAGTTTCAAATTTCCTCAAAGAGTAGACATATGATCCACTTATTTGTGGTCAAGTCTAAAACTAGCATGTTGAGATTTGAGTGGATAGATACTGCCGTTAATCCTTATGCGATAGATGAGTTGAATGTTATCACTGAGTAATACCTAAGCTTACAAATACTAACCCCCCAATTTTTCATGATGTGAAGATTAATTTTCGAAAAGATATACTATATTCTATAATCTTTTTAATCCTTGAAAAACGATGCTATTTGCACTGATTTTTACGAGTTATATAAAAGCCTCGATGAACCCATCATTTTTATAGTTAAAAATTTGTTGATAATATTCAACTGACTTTATAGAAACCTACAAAACAGAGAGTAACTAAGAAACTCCTTTCTGATATTATTTGGTTTATTTGACAAAATACATACAGTAAAGAAACTTCCTAATTAGTCGGAAGTAGTTGACAAGATGTCCAAGACATAGGTTTCATACTACTTACCAATCGTCAGAAGACCTACTTATAATCATGACGGAATTGATAGACCTAATGAGATTCGAAACCCTTGTTATCCAGTCTGCAATCCTAGACTTTACCACTTAGGCATCTGGATTGAGACTGACCTTCTGTAAGACTGAGATAATTACAACTGACTGTTGGAAAAGACCAACAGATGAGTGTGATCTACGTTTAGTCAGTATTAATAAACAATGAGAATAAAACAAAAGGATTTTTGTAAGCAATGATGGATAGTAGCTAGCAGTAAAACCCAGGATGCGCGTCTCGTCCTATCTGGGACTCGTCAGCTCGATGTACCTGCATCTCAGAGTTCATGTTCGCCGCGGGACTCGAACCCAGTACCACTCGCTCCAAACGCCACCGCGTTATCCACTCAGCTAGTGAGTCCTGATAGCCACTTGCTTGTGTAATGGGGTGAGTTTAAATTCACTTGGTATTGTTTGGCTTGTATCTTCCCATTGAGGTTTAAGATTGTTTATTGTTGTTGGCATATGTGCATACTGTGCATATGCCAATAACAGACTGATCAATTGCAGTCTTAAACCTCAATGGGAATATACAAGCCAAACAATACCAAGTGAAAACAAAAGGATCTTCAAAATGATTTTTTGAATGTTCAGTACACGAGATGATTAATTAAGAAGCTAGGTACCGATGTAATATGATCGTGAACAAGGTGATTTCGAATACTGTTAGAAGTACTCTATTAGTAACACCCTACATATCCCATGTTTAAAACAAAGAGAATATTAACCTTTTTCTATTGAAAGAAGCACAACAATACGCAGAAATAGATTTCAATAAGTATTATTTACACAATGTTTAGTCAAATGTCAATTTTCTGCGTCACTACTCTTGTTTTGATTATGTGTTAAAAATTCTAATCCTGTACTTTGATGACGAAGTCTTCTATCGCGTTTAGCTATAGCTCGCCAATCTTGACTCTCCTTCCAATATTTTGCCCATGCACTGATGGAAGTGTGATCTTGTTTAATGGATTCAGGAGTGATATTTATCTCTTCATAATTATCAGATATCTGAAAGATGTAAAATAATAAGACGCTTTGTGAATAAGTTGGCTACAAAAGGATCGTATTAATGTGAACCTAAAACTAAGGTAATTAGGTAGATTGAGTGGAGTCATTTAATTTAAAATAAGATAAAATTTACCATAGTAGTTTATTTAAATCACATTATGGTCAAGTTTAAGGCCTAAAACGGTGACCAGTATATCTTTGAACCAGAGGGAACATATATTAACACGACAATGAAGATATATCTTTTCACCGTTTTTTTTTCTTTTGTTATATTATCAAAGTTCAATCTTCCCCATAATTATTGCTTTTACATTATTTCAATTTCATTGCCATTCCCCTTTAAAAAATCATCTCATAGTACTAATGTGGTACGCTAACTTGAGCTAATACACATATGTTTACATTTATATGTTGAACAAAATGCTCGTTGAAGCGCTTAAAAGTGGGAAAATACTCACTTTAGGTTATTTCCAATTGTGCATAACGATTTACAAGTACATCCCGATGCACATAGATTGTGAGAACAGAAAGGCAAGTTAACGTTCGCATAAATGAGCATATTCCTCAAAAATTAAGACTGAGAAGTCAACTTGTATTCCATTGCTCGTCATCTACTTAATAGTGGGAATGATGTTGAGATTTCAAAACGGTTAAGATCTATCTGTATTGCTCATCACTAGACTAACTGAATAAACGTAAAACAACCCCAACTATGTAATCCTAAACTTAGGACCAATTTATTACTAATATCCAATAAAGCTACAAAAACTAATGCTTTATATTGAGTATTATCACAAGTAAGCAGTTCAAATCAATCCCAGAATGTAAAATAAACCTGTTCCAAACAATAAATTAAGTTGCAGTTATTACGTATTAAGATTTAGAATTGTACAATACCAACTGAGTAAAGGTCTATTTATTCAGATTTGAATAATAAATATTGTGGAATAGGACTTAGAACTATGATTTATTGGTCGAAAGCATAGAGATTAAACCATTGGGTTACAATTTGATCATTTTTTCTTGACACATATTCTCCATGTCTGAGATTTTTTGCCATCACCAATACTAGTTACTACTTCTACTACACTGGTACTCATCTGAATAATTTCATCAATCTGTGGTGATGTGATCCAGGGATTTGAACCATTGCATAGATGCACAGGATTCTACGTTGCATGTTACTGAATAACAAATTGATCATAGCATTTCTGGATTATCAAGATCTATTTGTTCTCAATGACAATTAGCATACCAAATCTGATGAATCTGCTTCTTCGAATTTAGCATTTAATTCTCCAAGTATCACTGTAATTTTCAATTACAAAATGAACATTAGGTGTTTTGTGGCTTTTTTGAAGACTGTTAAAGGACTGTATGTTTGTTAGTTAAGTCCTCCAAGGGCAAAATATTATTTGTATGCACTAGATCAAAAGGTTGAATACTAGGAAGATATCAACATCATTCATATACCAAAATAATATGACTAAGCAATGTTTACGAGACATTTTCCTTTAAATTATTATTTTTGAATCTTCCCAACTACCGGGGTTACGTCTCTCGGTCTTGAATAATTAAATAACAAATAGCATGATTTCAAAATATCATTTTAGTTTATAGATTAAGCTATCAGGCATACCTGTTATGTGAAGAGTGACAATACGATCGAACTGTCTAGAAAATTGTAAGGAATTTCAATTCATTCAAGCTGTACAACAAAACAAGGAGTTTTCATTGAAATCGCGAACCCATTAATGTTAGACCACCACTGAAAACCTAGAAGCACTGAACCACCATACCGTCCAGGTATAGGGCTCTTCAAGAGTGACACTCACAACTCCGCACAAAGGACTCGAACCCAAGACCATCGGTCTTGCACGAGAACGCCATTAATAATAATAACCTTTAGACCACTGAATCAACATCCAGCGGTGTTAATGTCTAGATTCAATCAACTAAAGATATTGCACAACCTTCACCCATTACCTGGTGATGGATACCCAACACGGTTGAACTCCATTCTCACTAAAACTTTAGAACTTTCCTCTCGAAGTTAGTCACTGGTGATCATATGACAATAAGAATTCCACTTATTTGATATCTATGCAAACCAGAAAGATTTTGTCATCTGACCAATTTTTGCATACAGTCAATACACAATAATGAAAATATAAATGATAATAACGTACTAAATTTCTTGGCTCTAAAGTATGAGATTTCTTCCTTATCGCTTTCAAT